AGAGCTGCTGGTGTTGGCTTCTTCTTCTTCTCTTCCCCAGGTCCTCTCTGGGTGATGCTGATACCTGTGTTCATGCTGCTGCTATTGTGCTAAGTCACAAAGCCAAGACACAATGCAATTAACAAGTTACTCTCCAATTTAGCATACAAACTTAAATTTAAAACTTAATTCTTCATTCAAGGCAAGATAAAGGCATACCACAATACTAATGTAATAGAGAGTGAAATTACTTTGTTAATCCACAAATACCTTCTAAGGAGAGCCTGGAAAATGAAAGACACTTTTGTTCTGCTGAATATCTTCAGGGACTCTTATCCACATAGGGAATCCAGAGCTGAAGCCACCGGCAACTGTTTCCCAGGGAGGGCAGCTGAAGGGCTTTTAAGAACTAAATGTGCAGAGATATAAGTATCTCTGCAAAGTAACTATCTCAGTCACTGCTGAGTCCTCTGTGAAGCCCACCTCACACGAAGGTGCTATGTGAGAGTATGTTTGTGTGAACAGAGTGGGCCAAGTCTGTTTGGGTCAGTATGGTGTCCAGTAGAAATGTTTCAGAGGTCCATGCATAGAACTCATTGGCAGAAACAGGTTTGGGACTAGGATTGAAGTCTCTTACACGCTGCTCACGTGTTTTCCTCTTTAGCCCCTTAGTCTGTGCAAGTCACCTGCCAGCTTTGGAGCCCTAGGCCTTTCTCCAAAGTCTCAGAGGGCTGCCCTGTCCACTGGGGGCAGACTGAGTGTGCTGTGGAGTTGATGCTCCCCACCCCAGCAGCGTCCAGCCAGAGTCTGGCGCATATGGGTGTATAAATACCCCAGCTTCCTCATCCTGTAGGTAGGATAACTCTGAGGTGTGTGCTATACCTGGGGGCATTTCCCCACAGGATTAATATCACCCATGGTAGCGATGACACACCTGTATTGGCTCCTCCTTCCTTGTCTCTCTTTCCCTCTCACCTACCTGTGTTTCTTTTACTTCCTGTCTTAGTGGGGTCCCTAGAAGTAGAGCCTGAGACAAGGGTCAAGGGATTTCATGGGAAAGGGCTCTCAGGAAAGAGGAGGGGGGCTCCAGCATGGAGCAGGAGAAGGAGCTGAACAAGGATGAGGTCTTGGCTGGAGATTAGCTTCGGTCTGATCCCTTGGGGAGCTCCTGAAGCTGAAAACATTCATTCCTTCTTGAGTCAAGGGTACAGGGCTTTTGAGCCACCACTTTGCTTAGATAGCTCCTGAGGTTTGCCCTACAGGTGGAGGTGTGTGTGGGGGGTGTTGGCATAACTTTGAAGCAGAGGCAGTGCTCATTTGGCTAAAGGTAATTCTCCAGAGAGGAGGTCAGCTGTGTGGTGCTAGCTGCCAATGCTCAGAACTGGAGGATGGTGTGCCTGTGGTAAAGGGCACGCCAGTGGTCCTGTAGGATTGAGTACACCTCCAGATAAATTTGCATTCTAATCCCTTTCAGGGTCTGATTCTATTCTGGGGTATAGAATGGGAGACAGATATATCCAGATCTCCAGAAGGGAAGCCTCAGATTTCTTGACATTATATCCAAGTTTCTATCTGTCCATCTGGTTCTGAGGATTATTTTGGACAACTTATGGAGTTATCCCTCACTCTCCATCATTCATTTGCTGTGCAATGGTAACTCTCCTTTTCTGCCTCCCCATTCTCACTGTCATTCAGCCACGGATGTGGGGCTTTCTGCCTCCCTATATCCCTACATCCCTCCTCTTCCTTGCATCATGTCTACACACCGAACACTAATAGCTGACATGGTAAAAATCCAGGTATTCCCAATATGGCCAGTTGCTTCCTCAGCAAGCTGCCTCCCAACCTATTAACCCATGGGCAGAGATCTCTATGGCATGCAGGGCGGGGCCTCTGACTCACCTTCCCTGCATGGTAGCCTTGCCCCTCTGGGATGCCCTGCAGCACTAACCACCTCTGTGGGGCCAGGGCACTCACTTAACTCTTGCCAAGCCCCAGCCTCGGAAAGCCAGATTCTATTTCCAATAGTTCCAGTCAGCAGCTCCTTCTGGGGAAGTTCTGTCCAATAGAAATATAATACAAGTCACATATTTTCTAATAATCACACTCAAAAGATAGAATAAACCAAGTGAAATGGAAAAAATAGAATAAAAATCAATATAGAAATTATCAACAAGATATTTTATTTTTTTCATAAGTTCTTGACATCTGGCCTGTATTTTATACTGATGGCATACTACGGTTTGCATGGCTACATGCCGAGTGCTGGGCAGCTTAGTGTGGCTGATGGCTGCCATGTTGGAGAACTCCATTCTAGAGTCTCTGCTAGACTAGGCTTTGTTGGCATGGTCTGACCATGGGGTCTAGGCTGGATTGGAAGCACATGCACAGGAGCCCTGGTGTTCTTTTTTATTATTATTATTATTAAATGATAGCTGTATATGTTAATGCAAACATGGGGTACAGTGTAGTGTTTTCATATACAATTTGAAATATATTCATCAAACTGGTTAACATAGACTTTGGGAATGCAAACTAATAGGTTCCTTTTGGAAAGACATTAGGAGCTTTGGTGTTCTTGATGACACATGTAGGGCAGCTGGGTGGGGGCTGAGGTGTTACGATAGACAGGGGTGCTGTAGTCCCAGAACTCCTGGTCCAATGGGGAATTTCCAGAGTTGGAGGCCACAGAAGCAGGGCAGTTTCTGATGCTGGAGGTTGTCAAGAGGTAGTAAAGGTATGACCCTTGCCTGAGGTGCTAGAGAAAGGCTTAGGCTTCTGTTAATGCCTCTGAAACCTAGCAAGAATTGGGGTAAATGGACAAGCTGTTGGACTGAGGCTGACTCCACTTGGGGATCCAGGACTGCCTCATTCAGGTGAGGTGAGATCAGAGCCAACGGTGCCCGTCTGTGGCTCAGCGTTTAAATATTAGGAAAATCAACCATTCTTAATGCTAATTTTTCAAAAGGGAAATTTCAAAAGGCAAGAAGTGACAAACACAAATTTATCCGGCATGCTTTCTATTGCACTACTGAGTCCTCCCTGAAGGTGTTAAAAAAGATGCACGTTTTCCATTGACCTCCTTGGAAAACACTTGTGGATTTTACCATTAATAAGTCCCTTTTGGTTCTCACTCTCCAATTACTTGTGTGATCACCTAACAGTGTTTTGATCTGGACTGTATTTCTTGTTTTAATGATTAGCATTTCATACCTAAACTCTTTGTGAAATGCAAGACAAATTGCCTTTCTTTCTTCCCCTTGATCAGCCACACGTAGCACTCCATAAAGAAAATGATCATATTTTTTACTCTCAAATGCCTATTACGTGGCTTCTGAGCAGAATATACACTTACCTCATTTTTCAGATGGGTAAACCAGGCCTTCAGCAAGTACTGAACTTGTCTAATTGACTCACTTAAAAAAATAAAATTCCCAAGTATTTGCTAGATAATAATATGTAGAAATAGTATCATGGTTTCTAAGTTTCACTTTTCATGAAATTCAATCTTTGAAATGATCAAATTTTCTAAAGAAGAGACTTATTTACAATTCACCACTGTACTTCAGATTCTGAAACATTGTATGCACGCAAATATTTTTGAATGAATAAATGAATTGTATCATCTCTTCATTTAGTTCTATTTGAGATGGTCAAATTGCTTTTTGGGAGAGTAACTTTGTTATGGTAAATATATACAAAATAATGACTATAAGGTACATACATATACATATAATTTGAATATTAATTATAAAGCAAACACCCAAATACCTGCCACTCAACTAAATATTACCTTAGGAGCATCTTGTGTGACCCTTCCCAATTGTCAAGCAGTCATTCATTCATTTTTGCCCCAGTGCAAATGTGCCATGGTTTATTTTATGTTTTTCTATTATATAATAATGGACATTTAGAGTGTGTCTTTTTCTTATGAATTGAGGGCTCATGAGCTTTCTTGTGTATGTCCCCTTGCATGCCTGTGCAGCACTGCTAAGGTATAGCTAGCCAAGAAATTGCTGTGTCTTAGGGCATAGCGGTGACTACTAATTGTCCACCAATATCCATTTCCCCTTCTTCACACGTGGGTGTTCAGCTAGACCACATTCCCAGCCTCCCTCTTGGCAGATGTGGCTGCACGACTGCATTCTCACTAGTGGAATATCCAAGCGGCTTTCCGTTCTGCTGCTTTAGGATAAGAGCCGTCTAGCAGTGGCAGAACCTCCTCCATGCTTTCTTCTCTTTTCCACTAGGCAAAACTCAAATGCAGTAGTGGCCCAACTTCCACTTTGCTGAATATGACTTAGAAAGAACCAAGTACTCGAATGACTAGGAGGATCAGAGCTGTCCCACTAATCAAACTGGAAACTTTGGAACTGGTAAGTAAGAGAAATAAACTTCTTTACCTTTAAGCCATTTTCTTGTTAATATCTTCATTATGGCAGCCTGTACTTTAAGACATAGGAAAGCACATGTAAAACTTCACTGAGCGCTCCCATACTCCCGTGTGAAACACTGGAACCAGTTTTCACCCCCACCAGCATTTTATGACAGCTCTGTTGCTCCCTAGCCTACGGACCCCAGCTATTGTCTGACTTGATTATTTTTGCCTGTCCGTGGGTGAGAAGCATTATCTGCGTGTTGTTTTCGTTTGCAAATGAGGTTGTGCGACTTTTCAGATATTGTTAGGTTATTCATATTTCTTTTTATTGGAAATGTCTATTTGAATCTTTTGCCCCCTTTCTAATATTGGATACTTTTTTGTGGTCAAATATATATAACATAAAATTTGCATTTTACTCATTTTAAGGGTATAATTCAGTGCCATTAAGTATAGTCACAATGTTGCACAACCATCACCATTTCATCACCCCAGCAGAAACTCTGTACTCATTAAATGGTAACTTCTATTCCTCTTCCAGGCCCCAGTAACCTCTGATCTACTTGCTTTCTCTAAGAATTTGGCTACTCTAGATATTTCATGTATGTGGAATCATACATATTTGTCTGTTTGTATGTGGCTTACAAATGAAAACTGTTTCACAAATCTGCACGGCATCTTTGTGCAGGGGTCATACTATTCTCTACATAGTCCCAATTTTAATATATGTACCATCCAAATGCACTTGAGCATTTTTTTTTTATTGTTGGGGATTTATTTGAGGATACAAGAAACCAGGTTACACTGATTGCATTTGTTAGGTAAAGTCCTTCTTACAAATCATGTCTTGCCCCCCAAAAGTATGGCACACACCAAGACCCCACCCACTCCCTCCTTTCTCTCTCTGCTCTCCCCTTCCCCCACCCCCACCATGTCATTAATTGTCCTCATATCAAAATTGAGTACATAGGATTCATGCTTCTCCATTCTTGTGATGCTTTCTGAGAATAATGTGTTCCACTTCCATCTAGGTTAATACAAAGGCTGTAAAGTCTCCATTTTTTTTAATGGCTGAATAGTACTCCATGGTATACATTTACCACAGCTTGTTAATCCATTCCTGGTTGGTGGGCATTTCGGCTGTTTCCATGTTTTGATGATTGTAAATTAAGCTGCAGTAAACAGTCTAGTGCAAGCGTCCGTCTGATAAAAGGATTTTTTTCCTTCTGGGTAGATGCCCCGTAATGGGATTGCAGGATCGCTTGAGCACTTTTTAAACATTTACTTCATATTGGTTTGTGGAAGTTCTTTATATATTCTAAGTACTAATACTTTTTTTTGATTTAGGTTGTAAATATTTTTCTCTTAGTATGTGGCTTAACTGTGTTTATGGTGTCATTTTGCACCAACATTTTTTATTTTATGTAGGCAAGTGTATCTGTATTTTCCTTTGGAGTGTGTGCTTTTTCTGTTTTTTTATGAAATCCTCTTTCCCACACCCTACTTTATTAAGATATTCTCCTGTATTTTCTTCAACAATATCTTCAAGTTTTGTTTTTCATCTACCTGGAGTTAATATTTGGTGTGAGGTAAAAAAAAAAAATCTAATTGAATTTTCAAATTATCTTAGCAACATTTATTAGTTTGTCCTTTCTTGCCACTTTGTAATGCTTCTCCCCTTTGGCATAGATTTTCCATATATACACTGGTCTTAAATCCCTACATCAATTCCACATTTAATTATGGCAGTTTTGATAGCTGGTAAGACAAGGTCCACCATTCTGTTGGTTTTCAAAATTGGCTTGGTTATTCTTTCCTTTTGCTTTTGAATTTTAGGGACATGTTACCAATTTCTTCCAAAATATTGTGGGGTTTGGGGGGTACCTTTATGGAATTTATAGTTAAAATTGAGGAGATATGCATGAGATTTCTCACCCAAAAGCATCATCTATCTCCACAATTACTCGCACCTTTAATTTAATATTTTATAATTTTTTTCTATACATGTCTTTTGTTTTCATCTTTTTGAAATTTTGGGTTACCATGAGGGTACTTACGATTAGTTTACATTGTTTGCCTTTGTATAGTGAAGTCCTAGTTGCAGCTGAGTCCTTCTCCCAGGAGGTTTGCCACATACCCCTACAGTGTACCTGTGAGGTGGGAGCTTACTGAGCTCTCTCCCCCTGCTTGAATTTCACTGTGTTTTCCTCTCATGTGGGTCTGTAGTTGTTCATCTACTAGTTTCAAATTAGTATTGAGTATATGGGGTGCTTGCTTTTCCATTCTTGAGATACTTGACCAAGGAGAATATTCTTCAGCTCCATCCAGGTAAAAAGAAATGATATAAAGTCTCCATGTTTTCTAATGGCTGAACAGTGTTTCATGGTATATATATATCACAGTTTATTAATCCATTCATAGGCTGATGGGCACTTCAGTTGTTTCCAGATCTTTGTGATTATGCACTGAGCTGCTACAAACAGTTGAGGTCACATGTCCTTATGATAAAATGATTTATTTCTTCTGGGTAGATATCTAGTAATGGGATTGCAAGGTCAAATGGAAAGTCTACTTTTAGTTTTTTGAGGGTTCTCCATACTTCTTTCCAAAAAGGCTGTGTTAGTTTGTAATCCCACTAACAGTTCTTATTTCTCCGCACCCACATTAGCATCTGCAGCTTTGGGATTTTGTGAATGGCCAACAAACACATGAAAAAAAAATGCTCATTGTCCCTAATCATCAGAGAAATGCAAATCAAAACCACCTTGAGATATCACCTAACCCCAGTGAGGATAGCCTGTATCATATAGGACTTTTAAAGCTTTCTTTTAATTTGTTCTAAGATTCTTTTTTTAAATTTCAGATTAATATGAGGGTATGAGTAATTTGGTTACAATGCTTGCATTTGTTAGGTAAAGCCCCTAAGTTGTAGTTGTGTCCCTCACCCGGGAGGTGCACCATATACCCTTACATTGTGCCTATTAAGTGGCAGAACACCGATTCCTCTCCCTCCTCCCCTCTCTCCTCTCTCACTGCCCCTCCCCCCAACTTGAATTGAATTGAGTTTTTCTCTTGTGTGGGCGTGTATTAGTTTGTCTAATGGCTTCATATTAGTATTGAGTACAGTGGATATTTGCTGTTCTACGACTCTTTAAAGCTTTTATTGTTATTAAAAATGATGTATTATTAAGAATGAATTAATCTTATTTGTTGTTGATGTTTACAAAACCAACATATTTTTATATTTTGACTTGTAACAAGTAAACTTGCTCTGGTGTTTGCCCAGGGGTTTGTCTGTGCAGTCTCTTGGGTTTTCTATATAGATAATCTTACCGTGTGTGACTTACCACCATTTTCTTCCTTTCTTTCCTCTCCTTATAGCGTTCACTTCTTCTTTATGTCTTATAGTGCTAGACAGGACCTGCAGTAAAATGTTAAATAGAAACAAGGAGGTTTGTGGATTTGTGGTCTAATAAGAGAATACTTCTGAGGTTTCACCATTACATGTAATGTTTTTCTCTAGGGTTTTGGTAGTTATTGTGACTCAAAATAAGAGAATTCCTTCCTATTTCTCCTTTGTTAAATATTTTTAAATTGTGAAAAAGTTCTGAATTTTTATCAAATGTTGTCTGTGTCTACTGAGATGTCTGTCTCCATCTGATATATGCTTTATCTTTTATTAAAAGATAAAGGGATGAATAGATTTCTCTGAAATTAGACCATTTTTTTAATCCTGGGACAAGCCCAACAAGGTTATATCAGATTCTTAACATGGTTTGGGTAATATAGCCTTAAGTATTTGGAGGAGAGGCCCAAAATTTAGACAATGTTGTTTCCTGTTTTGGTGGGTAGATTTTTAATGATTGAATTGATTCTTTTAAGATAAATAATCAATTCAAATATTTAAATTTTTATTATGAATCAAGTTTGATATGCTGTATTTTCTTTTTGAGAAACATTCCTATTTTATTAAGTACTTTCCAGTATTTTCCAATGTTTTAAAGCTCTATTCTGTACACGTGCCCCCTTCCCATCCCTAACTCTGACTGGTTTTGTTTTGTCCCATTATACACCCTACCTTACCTCTTTCAAACAAGCCCAATCCTATTAAAGGCTTTTTCCTATATTATTAGTTTCTTTTGTTCAGAGAGTGAGTTTTGGGATGTGAAGGCCTTGTTGATCATTTCTTTATTTTCCATTTCTATAATTTTATGTATTTATTCTTGTATTTTGTTTCTTTCCCTGGAGTTAGTCTCAGTTTTATTGCCTTTTTTTTTTTTTTTAGGTTGATGAGTTAATTGCTTAACTTGCCAACTTTCTTCTATTCTAATATTTTACTCTAATATTCCAATAGAAGGTATACATTTTTCTTTCTTTTTTTTTTTTTTTTTGAGACAGAGCCTTAAGCTGTGCCCCTGGGTAGAGTGC